CATTTCACAAAAATATCACAGAATGAAGGCAACAGACATGGATAAAGAAGCTTAAACCAATCACTTGAAACCAAGGTGCCAGGAAGACTAAAGGCCAACAAGCCCCCAGAACTGATGGACTACATTCCAGAATTTTTAAAATAATTGCTTGCAAAGTTAGCATGAATGAAACATTTCCATTTAAGAAAGGAGAGACGGAGACAGAAATTAGGAAACTGGAATAGTTAGTCAACCAACTGCCATTGAGAATCCATGATTAAGGAGATGAATAGAAATCTACATAACAATCAGACAGGCTCTACATGGTTTTGTTAAAGGAGAGAAAACCAGCTAGCTGGCTCGGTGGCTCAGTGGTTAGCACCGCTGCCTCACAGTGCCAGGGACCCGGGTTTGATTCCTGGGCAGCTGTGTGGAGTTTGCACATTCTCCCCGTGTCTGTGCAGGTTTCCTCTGGGTGCTCCAGTTTCCTCCCACAGTCCAAAGATGTGCAAGTTGGGTAGACTGGCCATTTAAAATTGCCCCATAGTGTCCAGGAATGTGCAGCCTAGGTGGGTGAGCCATGGGAAATGTAGGGTTACAGGGATGGGGTGTGGGTCTGGATGAAATGCTCTTCAGAGGGTCAGTGTGGACTCAATGGGCCGAATGGCCTGCTTTCACAGTGTATGCATTCTATGACAGGAAACAAAAAGTAGGAATAAACGGGTCTTTTTCCGAGTGGCAACTAGTCGATTAGTGCAGTATGGCAGGGGTCAATGCTAGGACCCTAACTAGTCACATGATCCATTAATGATCTCAATGAGGGAACTCAATGTAATACCTCCACATCTACAGATGACACAAAGCTGCGTGGGAGAGTGAGGTGAGAAGGTGTGATCTGGACAGGCTGAGTGAGTGGGAGAAGGTGTAGCAGATATAGTCTAACATAGAAAAATGTGAGGTTATCCACTCTGGGAATAAAAACAGGAAGGCAGATTACCTGAATGGGGATAAATTGGGAAAGGGGAGATGCAATAAGACCTGGGTGTCCTTGTGCACCAGTCACTGAAAGTAAGTGTTGCAGGGGCAAGCAGGAGGTGAAGAAGGTAAATGGGATGTTGGCCTTCATATTGAGAGGTTTCTAGTACAGGAGCAGGGTTGTGTTGTTGCAGTTATACAGTGTCTTGGTGAGACCACACCTGGAATATTGTGTGCAGTTTTGGTCTCCTTTTCTGAGGAAGGATGCTCTGGGGATGGAGGGAGTGCAGCGAAGGTTTACCAGGCTGATCCCTGGATGGCAGGACTGACAGATGAAGGGAGACTGGATCAGTTAGGACTACATTCATTGAACCTTAGCAAGGCTCTCAACAAGGTTCCACATGGTAGACTGGTTAGTAAAGTCAGATCATATGGGATTCAGGGAGAGTTAGCCAATTGGAAACAAAATTGGCTTGATGGTAGAAAACAGAGGGTCGTGGTAGAGGGTTCTTGTTCAGACTGGAAGCCTGTGGTATGTTGCAAGGATTGGTGTAGCTGTACTGTTGTTTGCCATTTATATAAACAATTTGGATCACCATATAGGAGGCATGGTTAGTAAGTTTGTGGATGACACTAAAATTGGTGGTATGGTGCACTGTGAAGAAGGTTATCTAAGATTACAATGGGATCTGATCAGATGGGCTTATGGGCTGAGGAATGGCATATGGAGTTTAATTCAGATAAATGTGAAGTGTTGCATTTTGGTAAGGCAAACCAGGAACCCTAGCTGTTTACATTTATCCATGACCTGAAATGAAGGAGAGCCCTTAAACATTTTGTCCAATTCTGGTCACCCCTCTTTAGGGAAAACAGGAAGGTTTTGCTTTGGGCGCAGGATCGATTTCTGGGATCGGTGTGCAGGGTTAGGGATTCACGGTTTGATTGATAGACTGAAGAAACTGGTGCTGGTCTCCTGGAATTCAAGGAAGTTAAGCACAGATTTAATCAAATTTAAAATCTGGAGGGGCATTGATAGTGTAAATAAAAAGGAACTGGTTCCAATGGCTGGACAGATTGAAGGGAATTGGCAAAGAATGCAGAGGAAGCACAAAGGAACGAGTTTTTATTCACCAAGTGGTTCAGATTTGGAATGCACTGATTGGGGCTAGATATAGATCATTTCACACCTTCACAAGGCAACTAGATAAATCCTGGACAGAAGGAAAACAAAACACAAGTTTCTAGAGAAAGATTGTGGCAGTTGGAATAATTGGAATTCTGTTCCAAGAAAAGGAGAGACACAGACTTGATGGGCCAAAAGGCTTCATTCTGTATTGAGTAGAATGTGAGTGAGTCAGAGAGATCGAGACAGTGACAGACAGAGAGACAGAGAGAGAGACAGAGAGAATGGAAGAGAAAGACAGTGACTGGGAGAGAGAGAGAGAGAGAGAGACATACACGAAGACTAAAAGGCAGATGCTGAGAAAGAGAAGGAGAAAGTAGCTGATGAAGATACAAAGGCAAGGCACCATGAGATTGCGGAGGGTGTACCTGGCATGCCTGATGTGGGACAGTAACATGAGCAGGTGGGCCAGGCGAGTGGCCTGCTGCTGTGGTGGGACCCCACTCTTTGACATGCACCAGATCAGAGTATCTGTGATTGTGTCCAGAATCTTGTGAAGCTTTTCCCTATTTTCATGTTCCTCTGTTACTCCGGAGCGAGGAAACATACCTGTGAAAGGAAAGAGTAAAGTCCCAGATCAGAACGAAGATCTGCATTA